ATGACCTCGAACAATCTCTCTCCACTACTGCTATCCTTTCCGAAATCTTGATCCCGAAATTAATAATTCTAAAGACGAGAAATTATATTTCCTTGAATCTTCATCATCAACCATTGTTTCGCACCATAAAAACCCACGTTGGTTCAAAGATGCTCCAGTAGAAGCTCTGAAAACAAGGAAATCCATCGAATATTAGAACGTTATTAGATTGAAGAGACATTGATGTATATACTCCTGAGTTATTTTGTTATTTACATATATAGTCATGTTATATGATGGCAGTCACTCATTTGTTTGTTGTTGTTATACCCGAGTGATCATTCATGTCATTTTGATGCATATTTTATGACTAGTATATGTTTGACCTTATTATTTTGGTTATTGTATCGTATATTATATTTTTGCAGTTTTCCTTTGATTATTATATTATTATACACAAATGTTTACACATTTGTTCCCCAAGGAGGGAAGAATGTAGGAAAACTGGTTTTTGTTCAGCCAAATTACTTACCTCAATTAACTTTACATCTTTATACTTAATAATTATTGGTTTACACTTAATTAATTTGGTACTAATAAATCATATTCAACTTAAACACAACGCGAAGTTAAACACATCTTACCCGGTTCTCCATTTGTAAACAATATTTGTCACTTCCTGTATTGTGTATTCACATACCTTTGTAAAGTCCGCTCTGATTAGCTAATCGGCGTTATGTGAATCCAATAGTTCAGTTTGATATAAACTTATCGATTCATTGATTTTCTATTGTTCAATAAAGTATAAAAGGGCTGTCTTGTCCTTTTCTTACTGGAGTCGTCCGGCAGAACACTCCGTACAGGTACTGTTTCAGCACCTCACCTGGAAAAACCCCTACATAAACAAATACATGGGCGCAGACATTTTGGACACCCAATGTTGTGCGGAGGAGAACATGCTAGCTGGCGCGTGATTGCTCAATAAGAGAAAAGACTTGTTATGTTTTTGACAAGTGAAATAAAGTTGATAAAAATCTCATGTCAAGACTTGGGTTTCTCTGAGGTATATAGGAGTTACAGGTAAAAATTTGAAGGGAGGGATGCACTTTGGTTAGAGATTTTCATTTGGTGTCAAACGCACCTAGTTGTAAACAAATGGAAATTGAAAGTAAAATTGCAACGGCACGGTATATTTTTTCTGGCATATTTTGTTTTCCAATATCTCGAACTTTCACGACAAAAAGGTCATTTGCCCGAAATTCAATACATGTATCAGTGAGAGGGGCTAAATTTTGTATGGAAGTCTATGGGAAAACATTTGGTGCTGTTTATCCACCTTTTCTCTGCTACTTTCACTTTGAAACGTATTTTGATAACTGAGCCCTTGACTCATTCGGAATTTATTTCCTAAAAAGTTTATTTTTGGACATCAATTAAATTTCTTATTTAAAGTAAATATTTTTGTATTATCTTTCTTCTAAAATTAATAAGATATTTTTTGAAGTATTTTTCAACTAAAACTTGAATTTAGGAGAACTGGGAAAATTATTTATTAATTCATTAATAATAATTCATTTATTAATTTATTTCTGGAAAATATTTATATTTTCCAATTTAATTTATTTTGGTACTTTTTGATAAAGTATTCATATTTTTGAGATTATTTTTGTATAGATATTTCATATAATATATTTTTCCTTTGATGGAGTTTGTTGTTTCAATTTCATGTTCATTATTCCCATTTTCTCTCATTGTTGTTACCGGTAATTCATCTTATCATTTTTGTTATCATCTCTCATCATCAGAATCAGTCTTATGGCATGTCAAACGTTGCAATATTCGATAATCTTGTGATGTATATTCAAAATCTTGTGATGTATGTTCGAAATCTTGTGATGTATATTCAAAATCTTGTGATGTATATTCAAAATCTTGTGATGTATGTTCGAAATCTTGTGATGTATATTCAAAATCTTGTGATGTATATTCAAAATCTTGTGATGTATGTTCGAAATCTTGTGATGTATATTCAAAATCTTGTGATGTATGTTTGATAATCAAAATCTTGTGATGTATATTCAATATTCTTAAACTTGTGATGTATATTCTATAATCTTGTGATGTATGTTCAAAATCTTGTGATGTATATTCAATATCTTGTGATGTATATTCTTAAACTTGTGATGTATATTCTATAATCTTGTGATGTATGTTCGAAATCTTGTGATGTATATTCGAAATCTTGTGATGTATGTTTGATAATCTTGTGATGTATATTCGAAATCTTGTGATGTATATTCTATAATCTTGTGATGTATGTGATGTATGTTCGAAATCTTGTGATGTATATTCGAAATCTTGTGATGTATGTTTGATAATCTTGTGATGTATATTCGAAATCTTGTGATGCATGTTCGATAATCTTGTGATGTATATTCGAAATCTTGTGATGCATGTTCGATAATCTTGTGATGTATATTCGAAATCTTGTGATGTGTGTTCTACAATTCAGTGATGCGTGCAATAAAATTGCATGACGCCACAGAAAAGTAAGGACAATTTTCATTGGTTAGAAATAACGAAAGTAGCTGAAGCGTCGGGAAAACCATGCAGGTGAAAAAAAAAACATAAGTTTGTTTATTGCAGCACTAATTACGAGATGCACGAGTGTTGTTCCTGGTGACATGATGGAGATATTTCGGCCTGCTAGGGAAAAAACTCAGTAAACGTAGATGTATTGACAAAATTTGTAGGTACTTTTAACGATATGTCACGATGCTGCATTGTCAGATACAGTATTTATACATGCATGCTAAAAAGTTAAATCTCGTAGTAATCAATATAGCAGAAGAATAATGTAATCAAAAACTATAGCAAGATTAATTTTTGTTTAACAATGACATTTTATTTCGTAGTGTTGGCAAATCGGATTTTACCGGTTACTCGCTTCATCTTCCGAAAATCAATATCTATTATTTGTCTTATTTTATACTTATTGGTAGTAGTAATGCAAAATTTGTAGCATTAGAAAGATTAATTTTTGAAAATTAATAACATAAACAAAGCTGTTTTTACACTTTCTTTTTCAGACATTATTAATCAAGGAGAATAATTATTTACATACTCCATAATTAATAGTTAATATGTGGAGTGTCCAGTAAATCGCTGGTTACCGAATTTTTTAAACTTTAAGTTAGTTGATTAAACAGATTTTGAATCAGCTGTTCTTTTGTAACAACTCCAAGCTTATTATGTCTGCGACAAAACAATTTGATTCACTACAAACATGCACTAGATCAAGTCTAACGGTACCTTAAATTAGGGAAATGTGTAAGTTAAAATACATTTATAAATTATAAAACATTCATTTTCTATGCCTTTACTTTGTAGAATTTATTTTATCCGAGTAACCGAATAGGAGTTTTACTAACCGATACTCACAACGTTCGACGGTTAACCGGTTAACCGGGTTATATACCAAATACTGTTACCGTTTGTTACTTGTGTGACTTGTGCGCACAAGTCACAATATAAAAGCGGGGGTTAGAGTCAGAGGAATCTCGGATTAGTTAATGTTATGCACATGGTTATCTTGTACTTGCAAGTAAATGTAACATTTAAAAAAAAAAATAATGAAAAAATAAGTCATTTAGGCTATTTGATAATAACATGCTAAATGAACATGTTTTGCTTTTTAATTCTCCTTCACTCAGTCTTTGTATAATGTATATTTTTAGATGAGCTGATCGCCAACCAGGAGATCAGAATGATCGCATCTGCTTCTGCCACTTTAAGGATGGTAAGAAGGAGGGGGACCCTGCATATTTTGCATGGAATGAAGGAAAGGCCATGGATTTCTCTGATCCTGAATGTACAAGGTGAAATTATTTTTCAAAATATGACCGACATCTTGTTTTTGGATGGTGGGTGGGTGGAGTTTAATTGAGAATATTTTACTAAAAATCTTTAAAAGGGTACATGTATAAACAGAGTAGCTTACAACTGAATAAAAAAATAATTCAAGTTTAATTATTTTACAAAGGAGGAAAAAACTCAAAAGTGAGGAGTCCCTAGCTGTCATCTTCACAGATGGACCAGTTGCAGATTCCACAAGCACCAAAATGTCAATATCAAGAAAAAGTAAAGCTCATTTAAAACACCAATGATGACAAATGACCAACACTGAAACATTTTCAATAATTTTTAATAATATATAAAGTTCTTTTAACTGTACATGATTTACAATATATTTTCAGTTGATATCAGAGCACAACTACTCAGCATCCTGCACATTTAACTGTACTCAAGAAATGCAGCGCCTCTCAACAGAAATACAACTGGAAAAGGAATTGCTTGCCCTAAAAATAGAGTCTAGTAAAAGGAAGCCAATATCAATCCACGATATTAAATACAACGAAGAGAAGGTACATTTAAAGGAATTCCAATTGTGATTTCCTATTTCCTAACAATTTCAGTTACTGTAATAAAAACTTGTTGCCATTGAGGGATGAACATCTTAGATTGACTGCTATGTTAACATATTTTGTTATTATTTGGGAGTTTAGATCTCTGATCAGCAGGGGCATTTTCTCTATATAAGAAGAAAATGGAGACTCCCTACCCACCCGATGTATTTTGTCGGACAGTTTTCTGTACATTGCAGGTAAAAATTTTATTTATTAACTTTCCAGCCTCTTATTGTAAAGTACATTTTGGGTTCAGTTTTTGCTTTTCTTTAATTTTTAAAAAAAATTATTTAAATTCTCCTTTTCTTAGAATAAAATTCAAAAAGTAGCTTCTGATTGTAATGTATAAGACTACAGACATTGAACTTTGATTTGTTATCAAAAGGATTGATTTAAACTTGTCTAAATTAATTGTAAACAAAAATAAAAGGGGGCACCTGCTATTTCTTTAAGTGTTTTTCACTGGGGGGGGGGGGGTGGGGGAACTTTTTTGTACATACTTAAGCAATAGGAGGGATTAGATAAGAATCAATTAGTATATCAGAGTCTTAAAAAATATACTTTGCATAAGCATAAAAAAATTCTATATCAGTCTTTTTAAAACCTTTGAATTTTGCTTAATTAACTATGATTTATCCAATTTTGGAGCTTTTTACCTAATTCTGGGTAGAATCCACCCTTATGAAATTATTGACTCAATTTTGACTTAATATCACTTTATTAACATCAAAGCACAAAAACAATTCATTGTACAAATATTTTATTTATTACAGTCACCAATATATCCAAATATCATCACCGGCCCAGACGTCATTCACTCCTTTGAATTGTGCTGGTAGCAGTAAGGTGTCATCATTTGAGATGGTCACAGTATCCAATGCACTGAAGTCACAGGACTCAAATTTCATACATGTTCACAGGTAGGTGTATAGTCTTTGAAATTACCACAATTGACTAATTCTGGGACAGGTAAGTATGTAAGTATAGGAATGAGAGCACCAAATCCCCGGATGCACACATGGCTTTGTTTGTTATGGAACATTAAACCGAATACTGAATGGGTAGGCGTTACGCCATTGGCTGAAATCAGGTATTTAATTGTTTTCATTTTAAAGTAAAATTAATGACCTTTGAAATAAATGATGGGATGAGGGAATATTACAGAAACTATAGAAATGCCAGGGAAGATTTTAGTAGTGGGGGTTAATTTTTTATGCCGCGTGTTATTTACTGCGAATCTCTATAAGTTGAAAATAACTGCAATTTTGACCTATAAACGCCATGGGACCATATATTTTTTTCAGTATTTTTTGTTAGGGCTTAGAACAAAGTTTGAAATGATGCTAAAGATTTTTCTGAAATTGTCATAGTAAAGTACTGAGAGGGCCTAAGGTTTGTATGGAGTTCTATGGGAAAATAATTAGTGGTCTTTTCCCTATACAAGATGCTGTCTGATGGCGTAGTGTAGAATGTAGCGTAGAATGTTTTCCAAGTCGGCTTAAATGCAAAGGTTTGTTTTAAAATTTATCATAATGACTTGCAAAAATTTAATGCAGTTAAATTTATTGTATTCTTGAAAGATTGACTGTAACACAATTTTTTTTACACAATTACAAATACTGTATACAGGGAAATTTTCGCCCCCGTTTAATTTTCGCCCCTTTCGCCCTAACCTCATTCGGGCGAATTTAACGGGGCGACATATTTTTTTACATTGACAGGGCGAATTTAAAACAAATAATCGAAAATAAAAGGGGGCGAAAATAACCCTGTATACAGTAATCAAATTAATTTTTTTCCAACTTTTTTTCAGGGTCTCTGCCAAAATCTTTTGAGGATTTTTCCTCTGCTAGAGCATCCATGGATGCAAATGAAACAACCCAGGACATCCCAACACATATGGATAATCAGGCCATGGCCTACAGTATGTACAAAAGTTGCCATACTTTTAAAGCAGTAACTTGCGTGCCTCCAAATGGTGCACTTACATTTTGCTCCATGCTGTACCCAGGTTCTACTTCTGATGTAGCTATTGTACGTCACTGCCAAGTTTTACGAAAGTTCAAAGCTGGAGACCTTATTTTGGTGGTCAAAGGTTTCACCATTCATGACCAGTTGCCCCAGGGTGTCTGCTTAATTATAAAAGCTCTTTTATCGACACGAGGCCAGTTTACCATACAAGAAGCAGCACTGTTACAAGATTGCTAAAGCACTTATTCATGTGGAAAGAGCCAACGAGAGGATAAAGAATTACGAGATTCTCCGTCACATACCATCTACTTACAGACCAATCTCAACAAAAATATTTCAACTCTGTTCTTGTCTTGTAAACTTGCAAGCTCCACTTTTGAAAGAAATTACTTAAAGATACATGTACTTATTATAAATTTGCATTGGCGTGTGACAGTATACACTAAACAGTGAAGATATTCATACCAAAGTGCAAGGGATAAGCAAATTTTGATTTGTTATCAATGTCAATGGTTATATTTGTTAACTTTGTAGTATGTTGTAATACATGTACTTCAGAAAATGAAAATCCCTTTTGTTTAGCATGGATTTATTACAAGAATGTTTGGCAATTCTATTCCTCATTTGACAATATAATTTGGAAGAGGGTTTACTTATAATTTTAAATCAAAAATGTTACATTTTCACTTTGAGAATAACATCTTCAATTCATTAACTAGAACTGTCCAATTGGGACAAAATACCCCCCGCTGGGTTTTTCAGAAGTAAGTTTTTGCATAATAAAGGTATGTATCAAACACGAATTATAAAATTTTTCTTCCAGTGACCTTGAACTTCCCAAATGACCTTGGGTCAAGGTCATGACACACCCATAGGTCATGGGCAATATTTGTGTGAAATGAAAACCTACCAAGTTTATCCTTAAGAAAGATATGGACCGGACACGAATCATTAAATTTTTCTACCAGTGACCTTGAACTTCTCCAAATGACCTTGGGTCAAGGTCATGACACACCCTTGGGTCATGGGCAATCTTATTGTGAAATGAAAACCTCCAAGTTTATCCATAAAAAAGTATAACCGGACAGAATTATTAAATTTTTCTTCCAGTACCTTAATTCCCCAAATGACCTTGGATCAAGGTCATGACACACCCCTGGGGCATGGG